ATTTACACTCTATTTAAATATAGGTTATTCATATTGTTAAAAAAATAGGTTTCAAATAGGTATTCAAATCCTATTTGAAAGGGTAATTAACGGAATCGCGCTATAAATTCTATATTCTATAGAATCGCGCTATATAGCTTATAAATAGCTATTACATTCCTATTGATGACAAACGAGTGAGTTAAAATAGTTTTAAATAGCTATTTTTAAACAATTTTTGCTTCTTTTCTTTGGAACCATTCTTAAAATAGTTACTAAATTGCAAATTAAATGGACCTTAAGAGCGGTTGTCTGTAATAGTCAGGTAAGACGTGTAAAATGAGAAAATTCAAAATCCTTCAAACTTTGTCAGAATATAGGCCTATATGAAGTATTAATGTTGTGAAAGTTTTATTTCGATCGGATAAATATTGAAGGAGAGAGACGTCGAAATTGGTTTTCCCAGACCACTTTCGATTTTTAGAGGTCATTTTACGGCACTACCAAAATCGCTCTATTTTGCACGTTAATGGGAATATTTCACGAAATGTGATTTCGTATTATAAATTAGAGATATTTATTGATTAGCAGACGGAATTTATAGACATTTCTGTAAAAAGTGAATATTTTACAGATTTTCTTAATGTTTTTTATTTTCGAACCTCTTTATTATATGCCATATTAGGCAGCGAATATCTCCATTGTTACATCGATTCAGACAAAAAATTCATAACCGGATCAAAGAAATATGTTTTCCCTTGCTATTGATCAAATAAAATTTTTGGGCAACTTAGAATTGAATTTTTAACGAAATGTTTCGTAACCCCTATTTGAGCGGAATAACCGTATGTTAATATAATCAGCGTCGAGTCATGTAGTTCAATAAATAACCAAAGAGCTCGTCAAAAGCGTTTATTTCTTCGAGTAAACAAGCCTAGGCCTATAAAACTAACTTAGCTAAAGCTGTACGATTGGCTGAAAGCATTTAGGTCTAAATCACACTGTTTACAGTCGCTTATTGTTCAGCTAATGCCCGATACTCGATAGCCGGTGCCGCTGATTTGGCAGATTTGGTTTCAATTATATTTTATCAGGGATATGCCGCGATAAGTATAGCGAGTATATTTTCTCTCCCCCTCCCATAAACTCGTGTTCTCACATAAATAGTGCACACGCTTTTTGTAAAAAGCATAGGCCATTTGCAAGGACATACGATGCAAACGTCGCATTGTTTTGACGTTTTTTTAGTCGTATTTCCGGTTGGGATAGCTCACGCGATTGTCTGAACAAAGATATAGACTAGCCATACCTTTCGCCGAAAATAACTTCGACCCCTTCAAACATATCGTCTTTGTAATAGTCTTGTTCGAATCCCCATCAAAAACACTATTTAGAGTGTTATTTGCAAGCCTGTATCTTCAAATTTGCATCTTTTATCACGGTATTTGATACACGAAGTAATTTGATAGTATACGATCGCATTTGACTTTCAAACTCCCATAAATCGCTACAATGTTAATAATGACTATAACTATAATTCGGAATTAGTTGATTTTTTATTTCTGAATCGAATGGTGGTATTTCTGTCTTCATATAGGCATAGCATGTACTGATCCGAAGACATGAAATTTCTAGCCGTCAACCTCTCGAGGACGACCTCGCAAAGAGTTTTAATTTAATGAATATTAAAGCTGGATTCTTTCACCGTGATGTCATCCCAAATGGGGCGACGTTTTTTGGGAAAAACGTTCCAAAAATTATTTTTGCGATAATGGGGGGTTCAAAATACTTTTCAGACCTTTTTCGACCTCAATTTTAGAACACTATGCGCAATTCCAGCATTCCGGGGCCCCCTCTGGGAAAGTTGGGCCCCCTTTCAAGTTGACTTTTTTGGCCTGAGAACTGTCTGAGTGTTCTAGATGTATCATTCAGAAATGGTTGGATAAATGTAATTGAAATTGGACCAAAAGTATATGTCAGATAACGCGTAACCACAAACAGCCATACAAAAGAGAAGAAATATACCGGGGGAAATCCCTACATGTAGCTTAACACAAACAGGAGAGATTATTTATAAGGCCAAATAAAAAAAAATACTTGGTTAGCGTGACCGCCCGCCTCTCGATTTTCTGCCGCCTCTAAATTTTTTTTTATTTTTTTTTATGTAAATCTCTTCGTTTTACAGCTTAAAACAGTTTAATATTTGAAATTTTTCTCATGCTCAGACCTTCGCGCTATATACTGATCGATAGGAGCGCGTAGGCTTGGGTATACAAGGTTCTTAAAGCAAAATGGCGGCCTTCGCAACATCAGTACAAAAAATATCACCGATATGGTGGAAAAACCGCCCCCCCCCATCCCCTCCAAAAATACTATTAAAAAATTAAAAAAGGAGTAAAAATTTTAAAAAAAATCCGCCCGCCCGCCTCTGAAAATTTGTGAGAGTGTGACGCTAACCAAGTATTTTTTTTTTTTGGCCTAACTCATTAATTTTATCCACGAAGACGGAATTCATTTTGTAAACCAACTATTTATTTCATGGATAACTCACACGTACACGTTGTCTTTATCTTCTTGCTGTTTTAAAAGTGATGACCAGTTAATAAGTAACAGTGCGTAGAACTTTGGTCTGAAGTTTTGACCAAAGTTATTGAGCAACAACAAAATAATCAAATATACGAGACATACAACTGTAGTAAATATTACCAAATCATAAATCAACAGCGGGTCTTTTTTAAAAATAGAAAAGACACCTTTTGGCGTGACATCATGGTGAAAGAATCCAGCTTTAATATTAATTAAATTAACTACTGTAAGTAAACGAATTACAATTTCAACGTAAAATGACCGATGTTTTTGACAAAAAGCGCGTGCACTATTTATGTTCGAAAAGTTATAAGCATGACGAGTCGTGAAAGAACAGATGTTTATGGGAAGGGGAGAGAAAATACACTTGCTATACTTATCGCGGCATATCCCCGATAAAATATAATTAAAACCAAATCCGCCAAATCAGCGGCGGCGGCTATACAATATATTATAGGCATTACCTGAACAATAAGCGACTGTAAACAGTGTGATTTATACCTAAATGCTTTCTGTCAATCGTACAGCTTTAGCTAAGGTAGTTTTATTGGCCTAGGCTTGTTTACTCGAAGAAGTAAACGCTTTTGACGAGCTCTTTGGTTATTTATAGAACTACATGACTCGACGTTGATTACATAACATACGGTTATTCGGGTCAAATAGGGGTTACGAAAAAATTCGTCAAAAATTCAATTCTACGTTGCCCCAAAATTTTATTTGATCAATAGCAAGCAAAAACATATTTCTTTGACCTGGTTATGAATTTTTTGTCTGAATCGATGTAACAATGGAGATATTCGCTGCCTAATATGACATATAATAAAGAGGTTCAAAAATAAAAAACATTAAGAAAATCTGTAAAATATTCACTTTTTACAGAAATGTCTCTAAATTTCGTCTGCTACTCAATAAATAACTCTAATTTATAAAACGAAATCATATTTCGTGAAATATTCCCATTAACGTGCAAAATAGAGCGATTTTGGTAGTGCCGTAAAATGACCTCTAAAAATCGAAAGTGGCCTGGGAAAACCAATTTCGACGTCTCTCTCCTTCAATATTTATCCGATCGAAATAAAACTTTCACAACATTAATACTTCATATAGGCCTACATTCTGACAAAGTTTGAAAGATTTTGAATTTTTTCATTTTACACGTCTTACCTGACTATTACAGACAACCGCTCTTAAGAACATACATCCTAAATTCGTCAATATTATTAAGAATACTTCTAATATTAAGTTGAGCTATTTTAAAGCCCTTATTTAAACATTTCTTAGTTACACTAGCCTTAATTGTCTTATTGCCTGATAATTCATTAGTTTTACCCCTTATAATTATCATTTGGTGAATGAGAAGGAGAACATATACCTTGTGTCAATTTCGGGACAGACTCGCAAAATCATGCATACTTTGTATTAAAATAATTAACAAGGTTTTTAGCCATCACACTAGTACCAAATCTATTTAAGTGTAATCCATAGGGATTTAAATGTTTGTCTTCGATGTTTTTGTGCTAAATGTAATCACAGTTATGTTGTTTGCATGCTTTAACTAACATTATATTTACCTTCTTTACTTTTTGTGTATACGCAATTTTGTCGTTTCTGTGTAACAGCTCTGATACAATCACGGTTGTTTTTGGGCTTTCCTTCTTGATAACCTTTTGGATTTTCATTATGCCATCCACAATTTCTTCCGGCTGTTTATTTCGTATGTCGTTCGTACCAACATGTAACACAATTTGGTCCGGCTGCTTGACTAAGCATGGCCTAATATGATGAGTCATAGCCTCAGTAGTTGACCCTCTTTATGTTGTGATTTCCATTTGGCATTGATCTTTTAAGTCTGTTAGCATTAAGATATTTGACCATAGAGTCACCCACAATAACGGTGGTCGTTTTCTTGTCAGCACCTGCATCATTATTTTTCTTTGTTTTATCAGCTCTGACATTTTCTATCAATTTCTTTTTTTGTCTTCGAACATCGGTTCCTTTTGTTGAACTTTTGAACTTATCGTTTCGTTCCTCGTCAGATTCGATATCAGATGATGAACTTGAAGATTCAGGATTTTTGTCGTTAAGGTTTCGTATTGATTTTTTAGTTTTATGTCACCGGTTTTACGCTTACTATTTTCACCACTGTTCGATAGTAATGAAGTTGGCCTCTTGCTTTGATGCTTTGACTTAGATTTTTTCCACATATTATCATCAATGCCACCACCGGTCTCTTCTCTTGCTTCGCCGCTTTTCTTTCTCGAGATAGCCTGCTGATTAAAGTCATTTTGTATTATTTTAATGGCTGTTACTAAACTTGATTGCTCTTCTTCGAAATGTTTATTTGTCTGGCTGAGTTGTGATATAGTTTGTTGCATATTATTATTACTCTCTCGCAGTGCCTCATTTTTCCTGTATAACTCGGCCTTTTATTTCTTTTATTCATCGATGACTCCTTCCAGAGTTACGATCGAATACGGTTTGTTCTCTTTTATGACGTTTATCTCGAAAGCGAGCTCGTCTATCTTTGTTACCACGTTGTCAGTAAATTTTTCAAATTTGGATTTTAACATGATAATTTCCGGGTCATACGTAGAATAATTTGTATAAGCTTTATTAGCTGATCCATGGGAATTAAATGAATCTTTTGTCTCAGCTATTTGTGAATTATCAAAAGTTGATGGCCTTCCAAGCAGGGTTGCATTAGGTGAATTTGCATATGTTGAACACTCCTTGTGTGAATGATCCTCTTCACGCTTCAAATCCTGATCAATAACGGCTTCATTTGCTATATACTTTTCGTTATTTGATGCCCAAAACGTTTCATTTGACTCTCTACGTCCGGCATCGTTCTCTTTTATGTGTAGATCATTGGACACCCTCGTATCTGGCTCGCCGCGGCTCGACAATGTTGAGTCATCGACCGACTGTTGTTGTTGTTGTTCGGAGTCCGACATTAGGTCAGCATTTCCACTCTCGAGTTTACTTTCGATGTGAGCTTTTACTTGCTTTTCCTAATGCGGTGCTCTTTTCTCCCTCGAAATATATATTTTCGCTTTTCATTTGCCAGGTAACCACCAATGGATTGCTCTCAAAAACCCATTTTCCCCCGCTGGGAGATCGCCATGTTGTTGTTTCGGCCGTTTCTTCATCGATAACAGTTAGAACTAACGCTTTTAAATCTTCAAGCGAGCCTGTCCACTTTAATTTGTTTTTCTTAACATCAAAATAGCCATACAATACATTCAGAACTACAGACGAATTCATTTTAAGAATAGATTTTAGCGGAGCACTTTTGGAGAGATAGTGTACATGTACAAAAAGCAGCACGTTAATGGTTGCACGAGCTTGCGTGATCTGTTGCATTTCAATGTTCTCCCGTTCTGGCGTTGTCCACATCATAGGATATCTTGGCAGCGTTGTGATAGTAGTCCAGCAACAATGTTCTAAATCGTACCAGTGAGAGATATTTTTGCCTTAGACCTTCTGGCAGAGAGTTGTAAGTTCTTATTACTCTGATGAAGAAAGAGCGTTGGTATGTCAGCGTCTTACATTTGCGAGGACGGAACGAGAGCACGTTGGTGTCAACCGAGGTTCTAGTGAGCCTTGGCTGCGGAAGGACTTCATTGGAGACAGTTAAGGTTATAATGTTGTTTACAGCTTTAAAGAAAAAAATAATGTGAAGGTACTTGTGCCAGTGGGTGATTGGTAGTAAGTCTAAAGAGTTCAGTCTGTTTTTGTACGTTTCTCCGCACACGTATGGTAACTTCAAAATGAACTTTGTAGCTCGTCGTTGAATGCGTTCTGTCTTGGTAATTAAGTCGATCGATTGTGGTGACCAGACTTGAGTAGCGTAACCAAACGTTGAACGAACAATTGACAGGTACAGTGTGCGGTGTATCTTAACATCTGTAATTTCCGTTGCAGCCCTAGCCATGCAGGAAACCAAGCATCTTGTTTGCCTTTGCACAGCGATCGCGGGTAAGGTAAGACCAGCTTAACGTGTCCGTGATCCATATGCCTAAATCTTTCTCTTTTTTGGTGACCACCAGGGACTTGTTATTGATCTTATACTCGTGTTTGATAGGATTCTTTTTCCTTGTTACACGCAGCTGACAATTGCATTTGTCTTGGTTGAAGACAAGGCCTGAAGATGTTGATCAGTTCTCCAAACTACTCAGGTTAATTTGTAAGGAGATGGCATCAGTAGTGGAATCAATTTTCTTAAATAGTTTCGTGTCATCGGCGAAGGAGGCGATCTTGTAGTGCTCTACTGCATCCGGTAGGTCGTTCGGGTACAACAGAAACAGTATGGGACCTAATATTGAACCCTGTGGAACTCCTGACAGGGCAAGTCTCAGGTTAGATATGGCTCAAACCAGTGAAGGAGTTTACCAGAGATGCTATAGACGTTCCTTAATTTGCTTATCAGATATTTATGGAGGACTTTGTCGAATACACCTTGACATGTCCATATAGACTACATCAGTTTGCTTGCCACCGTCCAAAAGTGAACCAATATGGTCAAGAACCTCTAATAGCTGAGTTGTACACGACTTTCCGAGAATAAAACCATGTTGGCTATCATTTATTAATTGCATCAGATAATCACAGTATTTCTCAGGACACAACGTTCTAGTACTTTTGATATTATGGAAAGAAGGGAGATAGGTCTATAGTTCTCTACTTGGCTCTTTTCACCTTTCTTGTGTACCGGAACAATTTCCATTTAGCAGGTATTTTGCTACGACTTCTTGAAAATTTGGGTGAGGGAAGGTGCAATCTGCCACGCTGTTTCTTTTAGAAGTCGAGATGGTACTCCGTCGGGTCCAGTAGCCTTGGTGGTGTCTAGCGCTAAGAGTGTTCTTGCGACTTCTGTTGTTAGTTGGAGGTCTGACTGTCCTGACGTTGAAGGTGGAGATGACAGTGGAGAGGAACGTTCATCCAGGTTATCATGATCACTGTTGAAAACTGATCTAAAATAGCAATTGAATAGATTGGCAATAGCAGTAGGAGTAGACACATCATAAGTTTGTGATGATTCATGTTCAGCGGCATTTCCCATTGACATAACATCTGGAACACTTGATTGTTTATTATTCAGCTTAAAGATAGACCAAAATCGCTTTGGGTTTGTTATAAAGTTGGCATCAAGAGAGTTATAAAATCTTTCACGACTTTCACGGACCATTTTAACTTTGATTCGTAGCTCTTTAAATTTAGCAAGAAGTCAGATGGAGACGATCTTAAATCCATCCATATTCCTTCTGCGGTAATCGAAAACAGTTCTGTTCAGTTTAGGAGCTGCTTTTATGGACGTTTTCAAATTGAAAAGGATTGTGTCGTGATCGGTAAACAAACCATTGTCCATTGGCTTAAGTTTAGAAATGTTCTCAATCTGATCTGGTAGGCTAGTGATAATTAGGTCTAAGATGTTGTTTCCTCGTGTACGTGGGCAAGGTGTTGACCTGAGTAAGGTAGAAATCATTCAATTGTTCCGTAAACATAATGTCATTACCGGATGATGTAGCAGGTGGATATTGCCAATGTAGTTTGGGGAAGTTGAAATCTCCACAAATAATTATGTTGATGTAGCGTGAAGAAACTTCTGCTAGGAACGAGTTAAATTTTTCCAACCAAGATTGATCAGGATTGGATGGCCTGTAGCAACAACAGATTACGTATTTCAGTTTTGAGCTTGTGACAAGTTCCGTTGATACAACTTCAATATCAGTTTCAATGTCTCAATCGCGGGAGGAAATGATTGATTTAACTGCCACCATTATGCCGCCACCAGTGCGCGGTTCCCGATCTTTTCCGTGGATAGCGTCATCGTCACGGAGAATTTCAGTGTTCGCGACATCTTTTGTGAGTCAGGTTTCCGTTACCTAGACAAGATCTGCGGCCTCAGAGTAAACAAGATCTTGAAAACGGGAGAGATGACAAAGCTTTTTCCCGTCTAAAACATCTGGCTTTTTAAGTCCTTTCGATTTCCGGTTCTTTGGTTCATGCTGCGACTCGGAACTGAACGATATAGTTCTACAAGGACCTGGATTAGTGGCGATATTTCCAGCAAGCTAGGAGGATACACAGAAGTAGATGTAAATCCTTGTGTTTCTATCTGAAGTTCCAAACCATACCGGTTTTAAGAAGGGTATTGGATTTTCTTAAGTTATTGTCTCGTGTTGATGTCCAAAGTAAACAAAGTTTATCAGATATCGTTGTAAGTTAAGAAGCGATGAGAATGTTCTCAAATGTTGGTTTTTCTTCGAAGCGCTCAAGTTCAGTTTTGATCTTCTAGCCAGCCAAATGATTAGGAATAAAGTGAGAAGCTATATGACATACGAATAGCCATCAAGTTTACAATTGAGAACCACCATTTTGCCGAGAATTTATCGTAATATGATTTACGGGCGTAAATGACCAAAAACTCCGCGAACTTGCGCGAATAGCGTAATGAAAAGATAATTTGTCACTCAGACGATAATTTGTCCGAAATTTTACGAGTGCTGACGTGAAAATACGCGCATCATATGACGCCATCCTGGAGTGCACACGGAAGTTTTTCATAGGAAAACATAGGTACAAAGTGCCGTGTGCACTCCAGGATGGCGTCATTGCACGTAAAAAAATTTCGGACGTTTTCCTTCAGTCAAAACACATAGAAGTGTCCCTTCTGGTCCGATATCTATTCTGTGGCGGCGTTGATGATCACGCGTGCGTAATATCAACGGAATTTCTTTCAAGAATGATTGAAAACACCGAATTTACTTCAATCTCGAGTTTTAAACGGTCAAAATGCAAGGATTATGATTCATGTTACCCGCCTACGTCAAATACGATGAATCCCCGTGCGCCTAAAGGCTCGTCCAGAGCTTTGAAGCCGCTATTTATTACTAAAAACCCTGGCTACGAGGCTGATACAAAACACACATTTATATAATACAAAGAGTTAAGGCTGCATTCCAGTTACGCGTTTTTCATACGTGCGTACACGCACGTAAAAGTTAAATTCGCTTTACATCCTACTTATGGAATAACTAAATTTATAAAAGGACAGCATTCAGTTTTGTGTATGATTTAATGTGTATTTGTTAAGGTTATTTGCACTTATATGAAATTTTAAGCGAATTTAACTTTTACGTGCGTGTACGCACGTATGAAAAACGCGTAACTGGAATGCAGCCTTTACTATCGCAAGAAAAATGCTGCTTCAGGTATCAATGGTACACCCAAAGAAACAAAGGCAGCATGCACAATTTGCTGAATAAGGGGCTGTTTAAGGAAGCCTCACATATTGATTTTGTCCACGAGAAACATCTTATGTTCGTTTCTCTGGAGAACCCCCCCCCCCCCTCACCTCCCTTAGAAACGTCACACATAGTTACCGATATTTTGTTCTTATAGTACACGTAAGGTAAATAACAGGGCGCTATAAAACACGTGTTTTATAGCGCCCTGGTAAATAATATACTTTCTAGCTACTGTTTTCTACGGTCGGCTATTGGCGATACTTCCGTGAAAAATATGTCATCTGCTGGCATATTTATTTTATTATTGCTTATTTAAAAAATTCCTGGTTTCTGATTGGCTAACAACCAACTATGAAACTGTCATATCAACTCAAAGGCTAACCAAATATGGATTTTTCATATTCATATTAGAAAAATGACGTCAAAGAGTCAATATAAAAAACATTTGGACGCGTTTGCGCCATATTACTATGACGACGAGAATCATATTGACTCGATGACGCCATTGATATGACGAGACGACGATTGTTTTTTTCTTAATACAAATACAATACAAATGGCTTCCGATTGTTTTGAATTTTATAAATAAATAATAAAACAATTATTGAATTCGGTTTTCGCACAATATGAAGAATTATCAAGCCCTCAGTTTGCCGTTTTCAACCTCAGCCTTCGGCTTCGGTTGATAACGGTAAACCGGCTTC